TTATTCACCACTATAAAATAGAATGATGATGTATGGTCTAACACCTCGTGTATACCCGGTTTGTTAACATGTCATCGTATTAAGCCATGCTTAATTAAAAATGCAGAATATCTTTTTCTTCTCAATTATGACGTCATTATACTTAACCAAGTTGATTACTTAATCATTTTCATAAAACATCGCCAATATGTAAATTGCAAAAGACAGCTAACTGAAATACCTCATAAATAAATAAGTGAGTATCCAAGTCACGGATCTACATATTGTAGATCCGTGACTTAGATCCTGATACAATTATACAACTCGAAACAACTAGAACAAAGTCAAACAATGTGGCATGGATAATCCTCATGCTCAGCAAATAAGGCAACAAAGCCCAATATTGTCTCAACAGCAGCAACAATAATCATAACAAGCTAAAAACATAAAGGAGCAGGCATAATCCAGCACTCAGACATATCATCATATAAACAGCAATATCAGCTAAGCTCCGACTTCCTGCCACTAGAGGTCTCAGCCCCTGGGTTACCTGAACCTGAAATAAGCGCCCCAAACATGGGGTGAGATCTCTAAACAGAAATCTCAGTAAGGCAAGGGGTCCTCAAGGATTTTTCACCCCAAGCTCACTTACATAAGCAATATAAGTTCAAAAACAGTTTAATAATATAAGTTCCAAAATCAGTGCACTGCAGCATATAATCATGTCATGTGTGTTGTAACTATTCTACTGGCCAGAGAAATGTAAGAATACGTTTATTACCCACATTAGTACACGCTCATGCCGTACCTGCCCACATGATCATATTCTCGTCTAGGCGACACACCACATACATATCATAAGGCATTTACACTTAACGGCGATCAATAGCATTTCAATAAATCAACACATGAAAACACATCATGCATATAAATCATTCCCCCATGGGGTATGGTGGAACCAACAATGGCTAAACCGAGGACACAAAAGCTTACCTCGCAAGCTAAACCCTCCCTCACGACTCGGTGTCCAAAGGGTCACAAGTAATAACCGTGTCCAGCAAGGTCAAAGATCTGTTTTCATAACATTCATACTATCAATAAATATATCATAGCTTTTCTGATTTAAAACAAACATTATTTCTTTTTCGTTTCGCTTACTACGGGCTCTTTCCAAAGCCACAAACACTACACTATCTTTACCATTTTCAAGACTTCAATTTCATCTCTTTATGAAATATTCTAAAATTTTACTATGTTAAACTAGACATCTTAAGGTTTACAACGATATATTTCATGTTCCAATCGGAGTTGTATAACTCCAGTTATATTTTTCGCAAAGTGACTACAACAAACTGAATTTTCAGCAATCAAGTCGCAATTTCAAACCAACATTATGACAAAACCAATTATCGAATGGCTATGAAATTTTACAGAATTGTATCCCTATGTGTTAGCTTTACATAGGTCCAAACCGCACACAATTTGGAGCTTTGTAGCTTGAGATATCGCAATTTTACTAAACTAGGTCGTTGTTATCACAGGTAGGAATCGATTCCCAAACATGGGGAATCCATTCCTGCACTTGGAAATCGATTCCCAACAGAAAGGAATCGACTCCCACGCATGCAAACCAGAATTCTGCAGCAGATTTTTGCATAATCCGAGGTGGGAAAGGTCCATATTGATCCAAGGTCCGGTTTTTCACAAAAACAGAAGTTCCAAAGCATTAAACATGCATAAATTAACCACTTTTAACTTGATTAATCAAAGTTCCCTCATTTAGTGACTTAAACAAGCTAAAATCATGGATTTCAAGAGGAATGATCAAGGTATACCTATGGAGGTCTTAAAACAGTAGAAAGGTATGCTCTTGGAGCTCTCCACAAGGCTCAAATGTTCTGACTTTGCAAGAGTACGAAAATGTACTACAAGGTTGGACCTTTCTCCATCAAAATGGCATGGAGATGGCTCCCACACCTCACAACCTCAAAGTCAGTAGCTCTCTCACCCACCACAACACCCACAACTCAGAAATGACTGGACTTTTACCCACCCATGGCTAGAGCACACTCATATAAGCAACTTTGGTGAAGGAACTAAGTGGAAAGGTGCTCTCTTGGAGCTTCAACGGAGGAGAGAAAATGGGAGAAGGGTGGCTGCCTCAAGAACCTCAAAAAACCCACGCAAGTTTATGATTTTTCTGACCTAGGATCATGCACCCCTTGTATTTATAGGCGCGTTTAAGTTTAATCGCGCAGTATTAGTGTTAATAGTTACGCTTATCATTTTAATCTCAAACTTCATATTCTGAACCTATGCATTTTTCTAAGATTTTTCATATTTTAATTTTAATTTTTCGCAACACTTTTTCGGTACGCGTTTTCATGTTGACAATATTAGTTCTGACACCAGTTCTCATTATTTTGACTCCAAACTTGTTATGCTAGTCCTATATAATATTCTAGGAATATTCTCACTCTTATTATAATTTTCTGGGATACTTCATCGGTACGCATTTATACCGAGGAGCAAAACCGGTATTTGCACTTTTCGTCAGAAAAGCGACTTTCAGCATTCTTAATCACTTACCATATTTATTTAAGCCTTCTTATAATTATTAGGGTCAATCATGGAATTATTTTTTAATTCTCATATTGATTTAGTTAATTTCCTAATTTAACGGTGCGGGTACTTACATATGGTAAGATTTAGGAGGGAATAATTGGTCAAACTATTGCTACAGCTTGTTATGGAAGCAACTAGATTATGAGCGGGTTTAAGCGTTGATTTAAACTTTCTTAACAAAAATTTTTTTTGAGGGCATACAGATATAAAAAAAAATTCTGGGTCTGCCACTGCACATGCGCATCTTGCAGAGCATGACACATGGATTTCTGTATGGGTTTTACATAAGTCGCGCATTAGGGTAATGAGCGACTTAAACGCGCACATACCCCATGTGCATTTGACTGCATTAGTTGGGTAAATATTTTGCCAAAAGAACTAATGTGGCAGTACGTTTCCTTTTTTGCACTATAAGGGTCAAAAATTCGAGAAAAACTCCCTTGCTTCTCGTACAAGGTGTGATCTTAGTTGAGATTTTCGATTTTCCTTTCAAAAGAAGAGTATTATGACCATTCCATATATTCTTTTAGCATGAAAGGGGGAAAGTGTTACTTTGTTATATTGCACTCATGTCTTCAATGATCTATTAGTTCACGTAAACGTATGATTTCGGTCACTAAATGCATTAGTAATATGAAAAAAAAATTATACGTCAAGATTTAGGCATCTTAATTTGCTAAAATGTTAGACTTGCCATTATAGTTGTCGAAATGGGCCGGAACAGCCCATACAATTCTATTTTCAACTCTGTATATTTTTTGGCCCAGTTATTTTAGGGCTGAAAACAGCCCTAACCCCATATGGCCCTCTTATCCCTTGGGTTGTTGGATAAGACTGGCCTGTCTAAGATAACAGAAAAAGCTAGAAACAACTGACGGATCACGCATACATAGTAAACTTAGGCAGATGGCTGCAACCATCATCGGAAGCAAACACATAGCCAACACCAGAGTCAGTGTGAGAAAGTTGCTGAAATAGACATAAGGAAAAAGAAAAGGAAATCACATAGCTTATGTTCCACTGCGTTGGAGCGTATCATGAAGGAAGGTGGTCTCGCTACGAAGACATGCCACATCATTATAATAAAATCTTCTTCGGCTTGGTGGGAGTATTGCTAACGGTGTAGAGAAAGCGAGAATATAGACTAAAAGGAATGTGACGGTGTTGGGGGATTTAATAATGGGAAATAATTATTTTATGTTGCACGAGATAATTATCTCATGCAACAGCATAGACAAAATAATGGAGTTCACTATTTTTTCTTTTTTTTGAAAAAGTAGTGGACCCCACTATCTTATCTATGTTGCATGAGATAATTATCTATGCAACATGAGATAAATAGATCCTTTTAATAATATATGTATTTGGAGATGCAAAATACTTTGTAAATATGAGAATAAATTATGTGTTGCTGCAAAACACTTATGCTGTTTTTTTTTTTAATTTGAAAGTAAATTAATTATATTAGAAAATATTCAGTATATAAAAAAAAAGCTTGATTTTATTGTTTGTGTGAATAAAAGTGTAACATTAATCTTCTCCACATTGATTTCATAATACTTACTAGAACTATATTGTTATTTTATTTTATTTTTAAAAAGTGGATATTAAATTTTTGAAAAGTCCGGGAGTTGGCTCTAACCCATAAGACTTTTGGCTCGTGCATGCCTTTGTCATAACGGACCATTTGGCCCTGGCTTGCGTGGGCTAAGGCCCAACGGGCCAGACTGGCATGTTTTGACATCTTTACTTGCCATGCATGAGGGTATTTAGTATACCTCCTTGTTTTTTTTAATACTAGTTAGAATTGAACACATAATCTAATACAACTTATCTAAATCATCAATCACCACTAGATCAATCCTAGTTGCTTTCCTTTTCTACTTTCAATATTTTGTTTCTCAACTGTCACTTTTTACAATAAATTGAAATTCTTTCGAAATAAAGAGCGGTGATACTTACGAATTACGATACATAAAAATTAATAAAAACAAAAATTTATCGAGAGAAAAAATAGATACAACTTTAAATTAGAACTCAAGATATATATATAGCTTCACTCCAAATTTACAGATTATTGATGAGGACATATTTTTCACCATACAGAAGGACGCACAATATATTTCCATATAAATAAGATATCTCAACTTTTATGAAGAAAAGATCTTAATCTAAGAATTTTATAGCTGACATAAGACACATTTAACTAGTAAAATCAATGCACCTTCCTCGTAGTAGCTTTCTGTACAAGCCATATATTGGGGGCATTTGATTGCTCCTTTGCAAACTTGCATTGCGTGCTTTCAAAATACGTACAGAATTCTGGATGTCAAATTTAATATCAGAGAACTAAAGATCTTTTGATTTTCATAACCATAGAACTAACGTTAATTTGATTAGAAAATCCTTTCCTTCTTCTCATATATTGAGAAAAGCTTCTCAGTTAGAATATCGGAATCTAATCTCTGAGTTTTTTCCACCTGCACAAGCACGAGTTAGGCACAATTGATTAGTTCTCAAACTTTAATGGATACCACACCCTCTCTAAATTGTCCTGAATAAACAAACAACAACTACAACAACAAAAGAAAAAGAAAGGTTATAAAGCATACCTGGAAATGCAAGTTATAGAAGACCCTCTCTCCAAAGGTTTCAGAGGAAGAAACATTTAGCAGAAAAAGCCCATAATTTTCTAAAAACATCAAGATCTCAGATAGTGGAGTCATGTGGACTTCATTAGAGGAAATCTGAATAGCAACCTCATTATCATTGAGTCTACTTGTTGAAACTACAAAATTAGAATTGTAATGGGGAATCTTCCTTTGAAACTCTTTGTTCACTGAATCTCCTTGGGGAGAATTAATTCTCCATTGAAGCTCCTCTTTCTTCTTAGTTAGCCCTTCCAGCTTCTGTTTTAACTCGGGTATGTAATTTACTACTCGCGAAATTGTTGTCGGAATGCTCATTTTTTTCTGCAACAATAACATGGAATGATTAGCTTCTAACTGAAGAGTAAACCTGCAGGGTACCACTAAAACTTGCACATGTATAAAGGATTTATGTGAAACAAGCTAGTAATAACATGCCCTTATTTGAAGTAGTTGTATCATCCCGTTTGCATTACTACTTGAAATAAGGATTTATTACCCAAAGAGTTGTTGGTTTAGCTGTCATTCAACGAAACCTCAGGATTTGACATGCTCAAAAGATAATGGGTTCGAATCTTAAGAGTAACAATTTTTGGGATGATAGAGAGACACAAATCCGAAACCGAATTTTATTAGGACTTCACACATTCGTATGGTATCTAACAAATAAAGAAAGTCGCTTTATACAACTTTGTGGAAGTAATGATCTCTTGAAATTTAATTTTTTATGGACAAATTAGTTTTTATATCAGTCCAAGAATCAGCCTAAATGCATAGGAAGTAAAAAGGGTATATATTTTGTACCAATAAAAAAAAGAAGAAAATGGTATATATTTTGATAAATAAACATCCCGGATGATGATAATCTGTCTTAGAAGAGATCGTTTTCTGTACATTCGTAATAGGTACATTTGTCATTCAATAAGTGACACTTAAATAAAATAAAATAAAAAATTTCTTCTTTCCGTACACACGTAATAGTTATTTCTCAATTTTTATTGGCTAGATGCACTAAAAAAATGATACAACAGTAGTACCGTAAATATTTCCGTGTTAAAAACAGTCACGACAGCGATGGATAGACATTCTTAATTTCTTGAAGTTGTTGCTTACAAAAGATTTTAGCTACCAATTTAAGGAAGGATTTTTCTTGCATGAGCACAGTTGCTCTTTAAAGAAAAGGGTAAGAGAAAGAGAGTACTTAAAGTACCGTTTGATTTGCAACTGGAAGAAGTGAACGAAGTGAAGAAATCAAGCTATTGATTTTCTTCCGACGATCACGTTCACTAGCATTGTGGTTAAGCTTCTTGACCATGGTAGGGTGCGGTGATGGTGTAGACCTATCAACCTCAACCTGTGGCTGTGGTGAAGAGAATTTATGGGGAAATGAGTACTCTAAAGGTATGGTATCTATATAGAGGTAGTTCTGGTTGTGGCTTAAGGGCTCCATGGTTGAGAATATTACACGAGAAAGCAGAATGCAAGCACGATATGAATTTGTTAGCAGCAGTTATGAAGTTGCTTAGATAATGAGACGATCATGACTTGTATATATATGTGTATTCAAGCTATGTAAGCATATATATAAAGTAGTTGTTAAAAATTGAATAAAAGTTTTTTTTTTTCTTCTTCTCGTCCATTATATTATTTAAAAATAAATTCTTCTTTCAGGTGAGATATTAAATTATTCAACAAGTTACATAGGATCACTACGCAAGATCATAAAATTATTTTCGCACTAGAGAATTAGCTAACTGCGCATGCAAACACACGTCTACATCTATGATGTCCAAGTCTTATTGTTCCTAGGACAATGTCTTTTGCATCATTCATGACGAGTATGCATTTGATTCTTTTCCCATTATGAACAGTAAAATCGTGAAATATATCGAAAATATAACCCTAGCTCTTATATATCCAAATAACATTACAAAATAAAATTTATGCCAACATTAAAAATCGCAAATTGTAGTTTCAAACCTCAAACCAAAAATTAACCAATGAATAAACGACCCAAGATTCATATAACATAGAGCCATTCTGATACAAATTGAAAGGATTCATTTATAAAATCAAATGGATACAAATTCATACCTATATAAATTCATATATCATCGTAATTAAGTATGAATGTCATCTGATTTAGTTTAGAATATTAGCTAGAATAGCAGTGAACCTTTGATTAATCGTAGGTATAAGATTAATGAGATAATAATTACGCTACTTAGCCAGATAGAAAATAATAATACCTAGCTTATATTCTTATCAGGCCCATTAAAGATAACATAGATAAAACACAAATAACGGTAATGGTAACGTAAACCAAACTTTTTCTATTGACTTATATTGATATGTAAGTTTTATTAAAATTTTATTAATAATTATATAATTTAATTAGTTGATAAAGAATTGACACATCTATATATTTGTATCTGGAGGAGGGAGGGTGAGAACTGAGAAGGTGGAAGAGCGTGGATGAAGACTGAAATACATTATACATGATATACTTATTTATTTGGGTTTTGTTTACTTTCTTAAAAGCTAACATTTTTATAATATATTATTGTTTGGTTTATAATGCCGTATGTTCTCTTTGTGGTACTGGCAATTAAGAGTAAGAAAATATTAGGTACTTCTGAAAAGACTAAGAGTAAGAAAATATTAGGTACTTCTGAAAAGACTCCATAAAATTTCTTTACCATGCTTGCTGATGTTCTGAATTTACGGTTATTAGTTTCTTGCAGAGAAGGAATGAAATATATTTACTGGCATTATTAAACTTGACTCGAATCAATCGGATTGAACCGAGAAGCCAATGAAATACATTTACTGGCGTTATTAAACTCGACTCAGACCAATCGGATTGAACCGAAAATTGGTGAATCAATGATACAATCAATCTATGTGAATCAAAAAATCGGTCATTCAATAGATTCAGTCAGAACCGGTTCGACTCGACCGATTTTTAGCAAAACCAGTGATTTGACTGATTTTCTTTAAACAAGTGGGTCATACAATTTTCATTTAAAAAAAACTGTTAAATGTTGTAATTTTACACTAGTACTATTAACTCAAATCCCTAAATTGCAATATATATATATATATATATATATATATATATATATATATATGGGCTTATCGTTTCTCAAGCTGCTTGAGATAATTTTATCTCCGGCTAGTGAATCATAACCATACAAAGATGGATCAATGATGATAAAGGAAGAGAGAGAAAAAGAAAATCATAACCATTCAAAGGTGAATCAATTAATATAAATAAATAAATAAATAAAACGACGTAATTTTGGAATAGTCGGAGATAAACTTATCTCAAACTGCTTGAGAAATATTTTTCTCATATTATATATATATATATATTTAAGTATTTAAATATTTTTATGAAAATTTGAATATAAAATATATAAATTTGCTTATATTTATCTGAATTAACCGGTTTAACTAGTGATTCACCAGTTGAATCAGTTACCCAATAAACTACTATCCCGAACTAATAACATTGCTTGCCCAAAACGAAGAGTCTGATAGAAAAAAAGAACAAACAATAATAAATAAATAAAATTATGGCCTTCAATTAAGATCACAAAGACATGTTAGTCCGCCGTACGCAGGCAACCCATTCTAACCTTTCACTTAACTTGGTCAAATTATTTGAGATGTATATTAAGAAAAATGATGAGCCTTCCGTTAATGGTTTAAGCTTTTAAGAGAGATAATTGTTTACATGGTATTAAAGCTATTTTGATCACAGTTATGAGTTTGATTCTCATCACCCTTCACTTTCTAACGAAATTAATTTCACGCTTCAAATACAAAAAATTCTTGCATGAAAAAAATATTAGAAAAATATAATATAAAAATCATTGATAAATCTTTCCCTGTAGCTTTAGTTTTTAACTGGCGTTTACAAAGAAAAGTCCGAAAAAAGTTATATATATCTCATGTCAAGTCTTTTGGATTTAAACTTTTCTAAACTAAGACCCCACCTGACCTATATAACTCGGTTTATCTTCGAGTCAGTCGAATTGATTTTATTTTACTTCAGATCAAGTTGACCAGATTTATTAACCTACTTGACTCATAAAATGGAACTATGATTTTACGAGAAATGGGTGCTAGCTACATATATGAAAAACAAAAGAATTAATTAATTAAACTACTTACATTCAATAAACTATATTTATATTCTTATAAAACTTCATGATACCTGTGTATCATGATTTTAAACTGCAGTCTACAACCGTAATTATGACTGTAATATTACAATTTTGGTGATTTTTCTAATAGCAATTATGATTATACCACTTGTATTTTCTTGTAATTATTCATAATTTTAGTTATAGCGTGATTATAACCGTAATTTTTATTTTTTGGAGAATTATTATAATTAACCGTAATTTAAAATCATGTTATACATAATTATACATAGGTCAAATATGCACTAGAAATTTTTTTTTTTAATAAACCACATGCAGGTAATATTGTTCGGGAAGAATCCAGGGTTAAGGTGTTAAATCTTTTTTAAAAATTGTAGTGGGAGGATTGAACTCAAGATTTTACCCCCATTTACTTAATTTTTATGTACCAACTGAACTACAATCATTTGATCCACGGGTAATTATATATAAATGCGAAGATGCGAATTATCAAAAGTGGGGGCTCGTAAAACCTAATTGTAGCCATTGTATTGCACGTGCCGATTCATGGCGTGCACAAGCCTTTAGCTTCCTTGCCTATGGTTTGCACGGGTTTATTAATTAAGGCTGCCTTCCAAACTTCGCGGACAAGAATTGCGAAATAATATGATGCTTGACACTGTACATTAGCATGCGTTAGTTATTTTAGGTACTACATAATGGATTTTATAATTCTCATTTAATATGAGAATTAAAGTCTTACTATACACCATTCGATTTCTGTGCTGACGTGAGTTTTACATATATTTTTTTTTAACATATAGATCTCACATGTTTTTTGTCTCTACAACATAAGATTTCAATTCTAATATAACTTAAAAATTGTAAAATCCCTACATATAACAATAATTAAAGATGATATAATAATAATTAATGAAGACAAGACACTTCTAGAAACAATGAGTAGTTTGCCCAGGATGCGGAATACTAAATATTCCCAAGTCAATATCTGCATGTGTTCATCATCTCTCTTATTTTGTTTCTAGTTCAAGAAACCATGTAATAAGCAACAAATAATATATGTTGATCAACAAAATATGTTAATCATATTTATTATTGGTTCTTGCATGATGATTTATATTTTATTACACGGTAAGGGGAGCTCGTGATGGGAAAATGGTTAATAATGGCCTAAAAGACAATTTGCCAAAATAAATGAGTTCAATGTCATGTCTCAATTTAAAATTTTAAGGGATTGATTTCATGGGTCATATAATTCTCACCTAATTCATTTTCAACCAATATAGAACTTCATCATTCACAATTGAATTCCCTAACACCTCTCACTTGTCACCCCTTCATAGTTCTTCAAATGCTTTTCTTGGCCCAGTTTTCGTAAGGATGTTGACTTAGCTTGTTTAGAAGAAACCCGAGCCTTCTCTGTTCAATTTGGAGAATTTGTGCATTGGACCGCTGTATGTTGCTACTTTGTCTACAAGATCTGCTTGGCTTCATAATTGGATGAAAGGTCACATAAGTATGGGAAGAGTATTTTTGTAAAAATGTAAGGTTCCTTGCAAAGTCCGAGAACTTTGTGCGTAGTGTTTGTCCTTAAATTCCATATCAGTAAGAAGCATGTCAAAAATTCCATACACTACGGGATTGTTTGGTAGAGAAGAAATTTTTTTTATCTAGAAATCACGATTTTCAGGAATATGATGAGAAGACGAGTTTTCTGAAAATGTTACCAACAAGTTGTTTGGTAGACCAAAATATTTCCAAAAATATTAGATTAATTTTCTTGATGCTATGTTTAATTGTATTAAATTTTTTCTTGTTACAGAAATCTTAGAATACCACCCCTGGATGGTATTTTCAAAAAAAATTACACATAAAATAAAATCCCAAAAAAATCAGATTCTTGTGAAAATTTTGAAAATCTTGTACCAAACTTGGATAAATACTATTACCATTTTCAGTTTCTCGAGAATCGTAAAAAAAATCCTATAACAAACACCCAAGAAAAAAGACACAAGATGTTGGTTACAGGGTAATCATCGCAAAATTATATTTTTGCGTCAGTTAAGACGTCGTTTGTGTGGAACGACGATTTTTGGTATCTCCCGTCATTTTAGTAAATCAAAGCTATATCCATCATTTTAGTAATATATATAGAGAAAAGTGTGTATAATTTTGAAGGATGTAAAGTTGTGTCATTTTAAGAGAGAGAAAGAGATAGATAAAGAAGGAGAGAGAGTTGACAAAAAAAAAATAAAGTTGTGGGTCCCACCTCTTTGTGAGAGTGAAAGGATGTAAGTTGTGTAATTTAAAAGTATAGACACTTTTCCCATATATATATATATGAGATTATATTTTCTTATGCAATAGGAGATATTTATCTCATGCTGCACTCACAATTTTATGTGGATCTCATTGCACGGAAAAAGAAAAAAAAAATTGAAATGCGACCCATGTCTTTTTGAGTGTGTAGAAGAGACTTGTTGTCTCATATTACATGAGGTTAATATTTTCATATATATATATATATATATATATATATATATATATATATATATATATATATATATATATATATATATATATATAGGGTTTAGCGGATGTACAGTGACTGCACCTAAGGATTGCTGTAGTCATACAAAACTACGTCGTTTTATAGTATGAAAGAATTAAATTTGAGAAATCATAACCATACAAAAGTAGAAATAAATATAAAGCATTAAATATAGAGAATTATAACCATACAAAAATGGAAATAAATATAATGTTTCCTTTTTCTATAATTAATTTTGAACGCAAACTTCTTTTTTCTCACCCAAAACGACGTAGTTTTTAGGTGGTCGCACAAATGCTTATATGCAGTCACATTACAAATCATTTTGCCATATAAATATAAATATATATATATATATATATATATGAGTTCGCTTTTTTTGCAGTTACTACAGATAAGTTATCTGCAGTAAGCCCAATACGACATCATTTTGGGGCAAAAATCATGATATTTTTGTAATTTTAATTTATTTCAGGGTTATAATAGTCTTTATATTTAAATTTTTAAGATTTCAATACCAAAATGACGTCGTTTTGAGAATAAATGCAGATAACTTATCTGCATTAACTGCAGAAATATTTTTCCCTATATATATATAAAGGCTTTAATAGCTCTTTTGTCGTTGTATATGGAAAAATTTGCAGCAACACTTATTTTCACCAGGATACGGTTCTGTATCCTGGTGTATTTTTTATTCCAGGACACGGCTCCGTATCCTAATTTAAATAAGTTTACTGCAACTTTTTTCATCTGCAGCAACAGCAGAAACGAGGAACCCATATAAAAAAATAACTTTTGATATTACAACTATCTACTTCTCGGAGTATACAATTTTTGCAGATTCCTGTAATAAAGGTCATAAGTACCCTTTTATAGACTAATTATAAATTGATCTAAAATTCAAATCCTAAAATCCTAAAAAAATTGAATTTTAGTAAAGTATTGCCGACGAAGGACCGTGTACTACTTTACTAAAATTTTAAAACTATTAAGGTTTAATCTAGTGAAATTCGATGGGCTTCAGCGATAATCGTTTCATTAATAAACTCACAAATGGAGCCCACGAGTTTTAAAATTAATTAATGAATTTTAAAATCATCATTCATTCAATATTTTATTTGAGAATTTTCATAAGCTTTTCCGAATTCATTGTTTAATTTCAAAATTGTTTTTAATAACTTACTATTGCTGAGCGACAGGCTGTATAATACTTATTAAAATTTTAAAATTATTAAGGCTCTAATAAAATTCAATCATGCTTATCCAACGGGACTTCACATGATTATTTATTAATATGCCTACAATGCGTTTAGAGGTTAAATTAATTTTTTAATTTAAATCTCCTCTCATGATTATTTAGGTACAATCTAAAAAAATCCAATCATGCTTATTTGATGAGACTTCACATGATTATTTTATTAATGACCCTATAGTGCGCCTGGAGGTTAATTAATTTCTTAATTTAAATCTCCCCTCATTCGACATAAGTAATTTTCTAATAATAATAATAGAAAGAAATTGGATTATATTTTGATTTATTTTATCAATTCTTTCTGTATTTTATTTATTATTGTAAATGGATTTATTTAGAATTATTGTTTTTGTTGATTCAAAAAAAAGTTTTTTTTTTTTTTTTTTGGAGATTATCCCTACGTAATCTCATAGGTTCCTTTTGGACTAATTCGAAGTTCGGGGAGGATCTCAGGTATTAATACTTTAAATCTCTTCCAAATATTATATTGGAGAGAATTAAACACATATTCTCACCTCACCTACTCAATTGCGATTACCGAAAAAAAAAAAGTTGTACATTGATATAAGGAAGCTTATATTTTGCATACGGTGGACCAATCATGTCCTATCTTAGTGACACTCCTGAGACTTGTGTAGGATACGGTCCGGTAGACTTCTTTTATTCAGTTGTACAGGGCACTAAACAAGTTTCCTTTCTCATACTATAACATTATATATCCGTAGGGATGAAAGCACTAGACATGTGTTCCGAAGTGTTCGGAGCAAAGCTTCTCTTTAAATTCCTTTGTCATTGTGTTTGATATTCCTCTGAACACGTTCCATCATCTCACCATTGTTCCTGAACATGTTCAAAATGTTTCTCCTGATTCACCAATTAGTAATTTATATCTGTTAATTAACATGTTTACATGTGTTATTGTTTTAATAATCACACAACGTTAATTAAAATGAAAGTTTATTAAAAATGGAGTTAATAATTTTTTATTATTAATTGATAAATAGTTTAGTTATTATAACGAAAGTTTTTAAGTTATAAAATTTTAAAATATTTTTTAATTAATTAATTACACTCTTAATTAATAACAAAGTCTAAATTAAAAAATATTTCAAAAGAAATAGTTTAAAGAAATGGTTATGATTTCTAAACCGTTTAATCTTGCAACCTTGATATTTCATCACACATGCATTCCTAAATACAATATGCCAATAGAATTCTCCAAATGTCTGTACTACTATAAAACATTACTGTTATATATTCTTGAGTAAATATCTTTTTTGGTTCCTATTAAAAAATACAGTCTTCACTTTAGTTCTTTATAAAAAAAAATTAATCTCGAGGTCTCTAACAAATTCAAAATAAGCTCATTTAGTTGAAATCGTAGTCCCTTATAAATTCAAAAAGACTCATATTAGCCCCTCAAAAAAAACTAAAATAAGTCCATTTTAAATTTTATAGGGATTGACTAATTTTTTTGTAAAAAACTAAAGTAAGGACCGTATTTTTTGTTAGGAACTCAAAAAGATATTTATTCTGTATTCTTCAATTTGCAAAGAAGCAACGACTTCAAGTTGTCTTATCAATACTATTATTAAACACGTCTTGATACTCAAACCTGAAGTCTTCCTTCTCAGGCCCAGTTCAACATACAAGCTTGCAAACCGACCCTTTGAATGGACTAATATATTTTTCATCAATCTTTAGCATCGTTCCGAGTTCCGACCCTAACAGGCAATGAATTTAAAGCTCTATCAATCTTCCTCACCGCCTCACAAGTCACAGACAGACCTTCATACAAAGCATGATTATAATCTGCATCGTTCATAAATCGAACCAAGAAAAATCTTCATTTAGATCCGAAACCCAGATATCATCTTTATGGGACCGAATAGACTCCAATTTAGAGGCAATGTATGTGTGTACTACCCGTTCTATTCGAATAGACTCCAAGAAGATCAAATTAATGTCTAATTTTGTTAGTCACTACACTCAAATGTAACCACATTATGATCACTTTTTTATATTCTCTTTTTCTCTAAATTTAAAAAGAGAACAAAATCTTTCTTTATTGAGTTCTACAAGATATCATGTTACGGAAATATGTACTCCCTTATGAAAAGATAGGACTGTCAATAGTCATAAAAGGGTGGATAAAATAAAAAAAAAGTGTAAATACCATTTTTAGTCTCTAACAAAAAATAGGGTCTCCACTTTAGTCATTTACAAAAATAAATTAGTCAGTTAGTTCCTAACAAATTCAAAGTGAGCCCAATTAGTTGAAATCGTGATCCCTCACAAATTCAAAAAAGACCCATATTAATCCCTCAAAAGGACTAAAATGGGTCCACCTTGAATTTGTTAGGGACTAACTGACTAATTTATTTTTGTAAGGGACTAAAATGGGGACTGTATTTTTTGTTAGGGATCTAAAATGGTATTTACTCTTAAAAAAATTAGAGTAAATACCCCTTTTCGTCCCTGGCAATTTTCACGAGACACATTTTAGTCCCGAACAATAAAAAGGCTCATTTTAGTCCCTAATATTTGAAAAAAAAGGGCCACGTTCGTCCTTCTGTTAGTTGGCATCTGACGGCCCAACTAACGGAGCACACGTGGACCGTTACTTTGCTGAGTCACCGTTAAGTATGCCAGTGTGAAAGTAATACGACGTCGTTTTATGTCTTCTTGGAGTTTTGGACAACTGACCCTAGCATCGAAGGCCCTATTTGGTCCCTGGCAAATTTATCGAGGCCACATTTAGACAAACCTTTCTCTATGACAAACATTACCTGACTGAGGCTCTATTTATATCAGCACTTTTGTGCTTAATGCTATATTTTTATATTGAATCTACACCCCTAAATAGGGCCTTCGATAAACTTGGAGCTACCAAAGCCTAATCTGATGAGGAAACAACAGCAACAAACTCAGCAATCAGAGTTTTTGAATTGCCCAAGATGTGACTCTACAAACACCAAATTTTGTTACTACAACAACTGCAACAAGTCTCAGCCTCGCCATTTCTGCAGAGCTTGTAAGAGGCACTGGATTAAAGGCGGAACTTTACGCAATGTTCCTATTGGTGGTGGCAGGAAGAATAAGAGGGTAAAAAAATCAACCACCCAACATCTTCCTCCCCCACCAAAGCCACCACCTCCTCTACTTGCACCACCACTGTCTCAACCTTAATTGGCAACACGGGTGGCGGGTCATGTAGCCACATGACAATGAATCCAACTCCTCTTGCAGTGAGTAATCAGAAAAGCATCCCTTCCTCTTTTTATCAAGTTCAAGCTTTGATTCGTCAACAGAATCTGATGAATACTGGAGACTTAGAAAGCAAAGATTTTGGTATTGGTAATAGCATCTTTCTGAGTTCAACTTTGCCTCTTCCTCAAAACCAAAGCCTACACTTTCCCTTCTCGACCTCAAGCTCTTTTGACACAAACCCTTGTGCAGTATCAACTTCTCTGCGATCCTCCAATGTTTATAACTATGGGGAGGAGTTTAAAACAATGGAGGAACCAACCATCAACTACATAATGCCCAGCACAAGTGGCAGTAACACACAACCATGGGAGATACCAGCAACAAGTGCTGGCATGGAAACTTCAAACTATTGGAATTGGGAGGACATTGATTCTTTGGTCTCAACTGATCTGAAAGATCCCTGGGATGATTCTGATATCAAACCATGAGACGGAAAAAACAAAAAAACATGTGATAGTGTCTAAAGATTAGAAAGGTTTGTGGTGTTAAGGACTAAATAGGGCCTCGATAAATTTGTCAGGCACCAAATAGGGTCTTCGATGCTAGGGTCAGTTGTCCAAAACTTCAAGAAGACATAAAACGACGTAGTATTACTTCCACGCTGGCATACTTAACGGTGACTCAGAAAAGTAACGGTCCACATGTGCTCCGTTAGTTGGGCCGTCAGATGCCAACTAACGGAAGGACGAACATGGCCCTTTTTTTCAAATATTAAGGACTAAAATGAGCCTTTTTTATTGTTCGGGACTAAAATGTGCCTCGTGAAAATTGCTAGGAACGAAAAGAGGTATTTACTTAATAAATTAATTCTATTACTTTTTACCAAATTTAATAAAAGATATAACCATGGTCTTCAATACTCCAAGAGTACTAAAAGAGGGAGTTGAATTAGGTTAAAACTACCTTTTTTGTTTCAATCTTTTTAGAATCAGTTTGGTAGTACCCTTATTTGTAGAACGTAAAATTAGGGATGAGTTTTTCACCCTATGCTTACTTTTGTTTTATTCTACCTTCTTCTTCTTTTTTATTTATTACCTTCTAATTATAAAAAATGGAGAATAAAACTCTGATTAAGGGAAGATAAAAGGTCCTACCTACACCTTCCATTTCTGGTTTTCACGAGTTACAGGCTAACATCTCTTTGATACATACATACATTGCCAAAGAGAGCGGAACATGTTTACACCTTTATAACTAAAGCCTAAAGGGATTCTACATATGCATAACATTATTCAAGTTATTGCAAAGAGATAATCTTTCAGATCTGGACCCCAATCCTCTGCGCTACCTGTATCAGCAAAATATTCAACTCATTTATGTATGCCTAGAGATCTTATTAAAGCTCATTAAATAAAATTTTATTCAAGATAGCATTCATAATTTCAAAACCAAAAACGAACCAATAATAATAATAATAGTGATAAAAACAGCAGAAGATTTCTCCATATAAAGTATTCATTTTTGGATCATGCTAATTACATTAACTTTCAAACTGCCATATGTATATGCCTATCTTAAGCAGTTTCTGCAAATATGACTAATATTCATATCTTTCCCATTACCTCTCCCCTGGTTTAGTGCCCTTCTCATTAAAGAACTCTGATGTTTGGTTAACTATTTCCATTTATAATTCTCATTTTATCATAGAAGTAGTTATATTTAGAAGAGTGCCAATAATAATAGGACATAGCATAACAGCAAAAAATATGCAAGAGATGGTATCTCTTTTCCCCTAGTTTGTTTTGGGGAGCATTGTACTTACTGTTTCTCTCTGATTTTCTTGTGGCTGACTTCAGGGAGTTTCGCTCTCCCGTGGACAGCCTTTCTGTTTTACCTTTACTATTTGTGAGGATTTTTCATTTTTTATTTTCAGGTAACTAGGGAGACTTCTATTAGGATTAGAGGACGAGTCTGGAACAATGGTAAAGCTTTTCTTTTGTGACTGAAGGGTCGCAAGTTTGAATCCGGAAAATAGTCTTTTTGTAAATGTGTAAGAGTAAAGCTGCGTACAAGGATTGCCGTCACTTTACCCTCACTAGTCGGGGTTTAATGGGGAGTAATTTTAAGGAGACCTCTATTGGGAATTTGGGATCTAAGGGGAAGGATACAATGGTATGTTTAATATTGAGACCTCTTTGATTCTGTCCTAGCTGTATTTGCCCTCTATTCTCTCCAATAAAATTTCTTATATATTAAAAAGAGAGGAAGATATTAAATACCTCCTTAAAGGAGTGAACATCGCTTCCCCAAAGCCAAGCATCACAGCCTGCATCTCTGGCACCCCATATATCATTTCTGCGATCATCCCCGACATGAACAGCATCCTCAGGTTTTACGCCCAATAGTTCACATGCTTTAAGAAATATAGTTGGATTTGGCTTCTCTGCTGCAACCTATTTGAAAAAGGCATGTGAGAGAAGTTCATAGATCAATTATGGTATAAAAAAGGAAAATTATGATTATGAAACAATTGATTAAAAGCATGCATGATGTAACTGGTATTCCACCGCATGGATGCTCAAATGTATTTGAGATATAATTAAGAACTAGACAATCTAAATAATTGTCAAGAGGATCTCGGATGACAACTGCTAATTCCTGATAGTTGATATAGGAAACAATAATACAGGCCGCAAAATCTATTATATAATGCTATAGCATTTATAAATACAAGTATTTATTTTAGCCATCAAATTGCCATTTGATTTTTCACCAAATTTACTTATCTTTGCCACATTTGCATGCAATACTTGATAACATCTCCAATGCTAAAAGTCACCAATTATTATGTAAATTCCTTTTTCAAATGTAAGCATGTTTAGCTCAATGGGGGGAGGGCTCTACAACACAATTCTAGAGACCAAAATCGTGTTGAGCTGCTTCCTCCTCCAATGCACTTATGAGAATTGCATTGGGTGAGCCCCTTGCTAAAAAAGGCATGCTACAATGTTAACTTGACAATTGAATATTTGTAGTTCTAGTGGAAAGATAAATTTTAGTAATGATACATGTATGATATAAACAAAGATTTTTGTGCTTTCGATATCTTTGATACTTTTTTTTTTAACATTTGTCCTTTTAATTCCTAACATGTTCCGACAAAATGTGACTCAGTAAGACAATGAATGATTAAGATTTATTTCCACTATTTCCTTTCGATTTTTCACATTGCATGCATAAATGGATGCGAGAGGGCGGAGGAGAAGAGCAGAACCTGAAGTAACACAAACTGATAAAACAAAAGGCAGAAAAAGAAAAGAGTAATTTGCTTACCTCAGCTGATACTGCTACTGCATCAAACCAATTATCACATTTTAATGCCCGCAGGAGAGGTCTTAATCGAGTGTCAAAATTTGACACAACAGCCAATTTTACACCTGATTTTCTAAGAGCTCTGAATACTTCTTCTGCCTCGGGATCACAGAGGTGCCATGCCTATGGATGATAGCCAGCCAAAAATATCAAAACCTACCCAAATCTAGAAAAGAAAAAAGAAAAAGAGGGAATTGTACATTGTAGAAAAATGTAACTACAAGTGGTCTTACCTTCTCTGTCATATAGTAGTTATAAAGTTCTTCAAAGTATTGAGAATCTGAACAGCCCGTAGAATAACTAACTATGTATTGCCAGAAGGGCCTACCGTCATTTACATATCTGCAATGTAGAACACAACAAAGCATTTTAATTATGCAAAAAGTGAAAGCAGTGAAGTGTCTCTACAGCAATGCTAAAGGGGTTACTATTTTTAATTGAGTTGCAACTAACACAATAACACAGAGGGAGGAGAAACATTTCATTCCAAATTTTACTGACATAAACCAGTGTCTTGACATAAAGGCCAGTCACATACTATTCGGGTATTCTTAAGAGAGGAATAACATAGAATATACATATAGAAAGGGCAACTTTGCTAAGTATAGCTGCATGCAAACCACATGGAGCTTGTTGTGTTCCACTGTTAAATCATAATCTTTGTTTCCAGAACACTTGAGTTTGATAATATGGCTCATATGATTTGTTATCAAAATTTGCTCATTAATTAAAATGCTTACATCTTAGTCCTTTAGAAGTAGGTAATGGAGAAAGATCATTCATTATGTGCTATACATCGTTACTATCGAGAGCGCACAAGGTCTCATGCTATCAAAGAATTATTCTTGTCAGTTTATAAAAAAAAATGTAAAAACACTTGTCAATGTCTATACTCGAATGAATCGTGCCTGACTCTGAGACGTTTTAACTAATTAGACATATCATGAAGTAGTAACTGCTCGGTTTGAAGAAATTAACCACTTAACTACACCCATAAAGAAAGTCTACTGCAGTTGCTCTTTGAAGTTAGCAAGGGTCAAAATCAGCTGTTATGAGCACGGAGACGGCTCTTTTTTTAGTAGAAATGTGAAAATATCTAAACTATGAATTTTCAATCACATGAAAGTCATTCATGGTTGATATATAGCTACAGAAAAAAGCAAAATCCAATATTAATACCAATTAAATATATAAACCAGGAGATTTACAACCAATTGATTGTGCCATATGAAATACCAAATCCCCTTGAATTGAAAGGGAATAGATCTCTGTTGTGTAAATTTCACATGATCTTGCCAGACGTAGATTATTCAGAGTTTCATGCTGGTAAGGATAAAGATAACACAAAATTTACACACCAAAATTCCATAAAATTTACACATGAGAGAATCCCCTCAAATTTCAGATAGTGCTAATTAATATGAGTATATGAATGATTAAAAGCAAAAGGAAATAAATGAGAACTTAAAATTTTAAAGAAGAAACCCACCTGAGACGAGATTTACCCCAAGGCTGACCATAAGCTCTTCTATATCTGTGCAATATTTCATCCTCTGAGTACTCCACTCCATACTTCTCCCCAATATTCCTATATATCTACAACATAATAATTTCACCCAAAAAAAAAATCAAAATCAAATTCAAATCAGCACAAAAGGATAAATGATGGCATTAAAATAACAAAATTAGTTTCATAAATACAAAATTAAAAAAAAAAAAAAAAAAAAAACAATACATCCATGTATATAAGCAATAACCAGAGAGACCCAGATAATTAAATGAGACATGCATTGACCCAGAACCCAGAAAAAAAAAAAAAAAAAAAAGGTCATTGCAATGATTAGTTGATCTCCATGAGAGAGAGAGAGAGAGAGAGAGAGAGAGAGAGAACCTGGGCCATGGGTTGAGAAGGAAGGACAAGAGTTCCAACAGCATCAACAAAGAGTGCCTTGTGAGTGATCTTGCCATAGAGGGATCTCCTGTATTCTGCATAATCCTTGAGACCCAACACTTCCAACCCTCCCATGTTGCCTTGTTCCGCCGCCGCCGCCGCAGAGGAGTACGAGGAGCAACCCCATTTGCGGAGCGCAACCACTGGTCTCAATTTCGAACCCAGAATCCTCGAAGCCATTAGAGTCATCTTCATTGCTCTCTCTCTCTCTTCACATTGGAAATGGAAGAAAGTTTGGTTGCTCTTCTCTCGGTGTTGCTGATGCAAACAAACAAAAGAAGAAACCAAAGGAAACGGAAGCCTTGTGATTTGTAACTTGCAATCGTTAAAGCGTTATTGTATTTGTAACGATTGCTTAGTGTGATAGAGCAAAACAGTGTTTATGGAAAATGCCCCTGGACTTGGCTCATATTACATTCTTTCTTTCTTTTTTTGGTACTAACACATTAACAATTTATTATCAGCTGGTTGGAACTTGGAACTGGTCCATAGTTATCTTGTCTGCAATTTTGCATCATCACTTATTCATAATTTCTGATAAAATATGGACTTTATAAAAAAAAAATAGTTTTAATATGTATTAGAGAAAGAAAGAAAAAAATATTAATCAAGTAGTAAGCAACTTTTTCTTCTTTGACTAAAGGTCTCCATTTTGAGACTTGGAAATGAACAAAAAAATATATATGATGGAAGAGTAGTAATATAATTTTGGAAAGTACTTGAACTTAATTAGTTGAAATCCAATTATAAATTGATTAGAAAAAAATAATTAAACTATTTTTTTATTAAATGATACTCTTTTGAATATTTTCTATTTTTGGATCATTTAAAGAATTTAATTTTGAGAAGCAAAATCATTTTATACTTGTATAAATCACGCTCTCAATTTTTATTATTTATTTTAATCATATCTAATTATTCTAATTTATTATACATGTGAGTCGGTGGATGCAAATTTTAATGTATATAACACATTTTATACTTGTATATATGATATGTTATTATGTAATTTAATGAATTTAAGATGCTATTTATATTAGATGTATTTAAATTTAGTAATAGATGAGTAAACATAAAATTAAATAGTAACATAAATTACCAAAAAAAAAACAATAATAATAACATAAACAGATTTTATACTAATTCTATATAAAAATTAAATTCTAAGTCAAAGTTTACACCTTTTTCAAACCTTAACAAGCGAAATTGAAATAAAATTCTTTTAAAATGTCTCTTTAACTTATTTCTAATTGAATTTTAAGAAACATTTTTTTTCTATTCTAAAGTTAAGACATTATGTATAAAAATATAAATACCAATACTAAAATATGTTGGAAGTTTTGGAATTTGACGTAAGATCAAATCCAAATACTCTTAAGACCCTCATGTATATCTCTTTATCATATTGATCATTGTTTTGCTTAAATCTCGTTCACTGATATAACACTTTTTCTTTTTGTTCTTTTGAAATGATTGTACATTATTTTGCAACTAAAAGTTTTGAGTACGAATGCAATCCTCGATAAAAATCAGCAACAGCGGATGAGAACGTGGACCTAATCATTTAACAAGCATGAATAAACTCTATTAATAATGCAATTTTCGTATCCATTGGTATGATTGTGGACGTAATTGAATATAATGACTTTTGGATAAGGAACGATATTAAGCATAAAACTTGAATGTAATTTCAAGGAAGTCCTTGTGCTTTTTGTGAGTGTGGACTTTGAACAGTTTCATAATTTGAGCAACCGTTAAAGTTGATGTAAGAATAGTGCATCAGCGTGAGATTAATTTCAAGGAAGTCCATGTGCGTCTTGTGAGTGGGAACTGTGAATAGTTTCATTCCATCTTGATCTTCTAATTTGGGCTACCGCTAAAGTTAAAGTAAGAATATTGCACGTTCAGCAAAATAAAAATAAAAAAATCTACCAATGGCACATTTAATAAATAACTGGGTTCTTTAAATATATTGATAGGGATTCAATTCATAGCCGTGCGTATAAGAAAAATGATTTCTATATCTCGAGAAGATTAATCTTTGACTATCGATCACAGAATACCTTAAAGCGTTTGGTAGAGGAGAAATTTTTTTTTATCCGGGAATCTCGATTTTCAGAAATATGATTTTTACATTCAGTTTACGATAATATTCGAAAATTAAAAATTTTAAAAAAATTCAATTTTCCAAAATTCCTGAAGAATACTGCGTACCAAACGCTCCCTAAGAGAGTGTTTGATAGGATGCAAAAAAAAAATTGCCCTGAAAAGTGGGGTTGGGAAGAAAGATTAACTATGTTTGGTAGTAAGGTTTGTTAAAACAGATTGAAAACTTTTCAATCCATCAAAAAATTTTCCACATAGTTTGCAACCAGAAGATGACCTTTGAGAACATGTAAAAAAAACTACCCATGATGGGAGAAACTGATAACAATTTTTAAAGATCAAAACACCCTTATTTATGAGCTCTACTTCATGATGTTTGAGAGAGAGAGAAAAATAAAGACAATACATAAGTTACCGTTTAACATAACAACTTCAATTCTAATCATCGATAGTTTCTTAACTTTGTTACATCACTTTTTTACTATTAATCCAACATAACATCAATAAATTTAACTCAATTTTTTTGAAAAAATTATATCTTACCAAACATATTTTCTTAACTTATCAGGCAACAAATTTTTCTCGTCATCTTCCCGACAAATTTGTGTTTCTGGTAAAAAAATATATATCTCTTATACCAAACACTCTCTTAAGTTCTACCCTAAGAAGAAAAAAAATCTAACAATGAGTGCATCCACCCAAAATAATAATTATGATGATGAATGCAGATGCACCAAGAAAAGATTTGAGCGCAGGAATTTTTTTGTTGCTACTTTTTTTTTTTAAATTTCTTTGTATAATTATGTTATTACAAGAAAAAATCTTATTAGTGTCTCAAATTTTGTTATTACATATGAAATTTTGTCACAAATTCCTAAGTCACAAGTTTATTTGTGACGAAATTTGATTGTTTATGTCGAAAATTGTTATTTGTGACAAAGTTTGTGACGAAATTTTTTGTCACAAATAAACTTTTTTCTTTCTATAAATCAAAAATTGTTGGTTGTTAGTATCATGTAAGACCAAAATTAAGTGTTGCAAGTGAAGTTGAGATGCACACATCACCACAATAATGGAAGCAAGCAAAGCTACGGAAACAAGACGCAAGAAAAACAGAAACATAGCATGAGAACACACATGAAGTCCAAATGTCGTTATCAAATCCTCGTCACCAGAATTCAAGGACTCATCAAATTCATCGAAAGGTATGCATGTGGGGTCCCCCGGTTGGACCAATTCCACATGGCATAGCGATCTCGTTCCTCAAACCCTCCAATAGACGAAACCCTTTTGGCTCTGCCTGACCAAATTCTAGCGCAAGGACACGTTAGAGCGTGAGGGTCTCTTTCCAGGACACTTCATGTTCATTATTTTTATCTCAAATCTTGAATTTGTTTGCGTGTTTTATCTCTGTCAGAAATACATTTATTGAAAATTGTCTTGGTTTGATTGCACTCTTCTTCATTTCATTATTTATGGTAATGACTGATTGTAGAGTGAGAACAACGCTTCATGAAGACATGGGTGAGAAATTTCAAATGAGTGCTTGAATTTATGGGAGTATGTATGACCAAGATATATAATAAGGTAACAAAAGCGCTATACGGATTGTCATGTTTGATTGAGTGTCCACCAAAGCCTTAATCAATTTATATATCACCCCAAAAAAAAAAAAGCCTTAGTGTGTATAATTTTTAATGGCAATTCATTTAATTCTAAAAAAAACAAGGCTTAAAAGAATTTGTAGACTTTCTAATAAATAAGGTGTTTTTATTTAAAAATGTTGTGTACGATATAAAAAATGTCAAGAAATAATAACATTAAAAATGACACATGTTTTTAAGGATGTGTATGACAACCTTCCCAGAATCAATTCTTTTTTAATTTCTGTTTCCGGGAACAGAAATGAATAGGAATTTCGTTTGGTAAAATCGATTTATTTTTTTGTTCCCAGGATGAACCGGTTTAATTTTTGTGCTAGGGAACAGAAAAAAGAATCAGAAAATTTCTGTTTTTTTTTGTTCCCGGACACAAAATAAGAAACACTTATTTCTCTCAATCACTCTCCACCCCTACCATCATCACCACCACCACCATCATCCCGACACAACTGCCGCCGCCACTATTACCACCACCTCCACTCATCACTTCCACCATGCCACCGTCACCACCATCATCACCACCACCGCTATCACCGTCACCACCACCATCACCACTACCGCTATCAACCACCACCATCATCACAATCACTGTCGTCACCGCCACCATCGCCATCACACGCCACTGCCACCACCCCCTTCGCCACCACTACCACCACCCTCATCACCACCACTGTCACCAATCACCACTACCATTGTTGTAGCCACTACCGTCACCACCACCGCCGTCGCTGCCGCTACCAACCATCACCACCATCGTCACAGGCATTACCGTCACCATCGCCACCATTACACCACTCCCGCCACTACTATCACCACCACCACTGCCACCACCACCACCACTATGATGCCTTCACAACCACCACCACCATGCTACTGCTACCATTGTTTCTGCCACCAACCACCATACCCATCGTCATTGTCGCAGCCACTGCTGTCACCTCCACCACCACCTTCCCCACCACTACCACCATCGCCGCCACTATTACCATCGCCATCGTCGCAGCCACTGCTGTCACAACCGCCACCACTATCTTCACCACGTCACTGCCACCACCACTACCGTATTGTCGCCGCCGCCACCACCACCACAACCACACCATAGGGAAAGAAAAGTGATGATCCGAATTTTTTTTATATTTAATAGGAATTATTTTTTATTATATTATATGTTGTGTAATCAAACACAATTCTCATTCTCGGAATAAAAGTAGAACATGTTATCAAACACATTTTTTTTCTCAGAAACTGTTGCAAGGCATAAAAATAGAAAAGAATTGTTTCTTTTCAAAAACAGTGCTAGGAAATAAAATGATTGTTATGCACACCCTAAAACTAATATTTATAAGTCCATATGCATAGGCAATAGCTGAAAGTACCAGGTATTTTCAATTAATACGAAAGAATACAATTAATTCCAAATATTAATTTGTAAAAGTGTCGAGGTCTCATCCATCTAGGTGGCTAGAGACACTGAATTGAAAATCGAAGAACAAGTGGTGCACAATGGGATAAAGATAATGAGAGTATGCACGACACAGCTTGCAGGCGTGGGATTGCGAAATGTTGAGGTTATTATGTTTCTGTCCACAAGAATTGAGTG